AAAAGGAAAAGTAAAGAAAATTGTGCAATGTTTGTTTATACCTTCATCATGCCGAGGAGACACTTAACAGTAAATAACCTGTGTATACCTGAGGTAAGATACTGTTTCTGCTTTCCCTGCACAGTGCTGCTGCAGCACGGAGCTGATCCAAACATTCGGAACACCGATGGGAAATCTGCACTGGATCTGGCAGACCCTTCAGCAAAAGCTGTACTCACGGGTAAGATGCATACATCTCTCATCTCTCAGCAGCRTTACCTGAGTTTATTTTGTGTATAAGTTCAGCATCATACGAGCCTTCTGCCTTTCTAGATTTTCTGTTGTATAAGAGCATTTTAAAACTGTCTTTTACCAGATTTCGTGTTGATGTAATTGTTGTTAATCTGCTGCGCTGCTATAGGTTTGCTTATTCTACTTATGCAAATACTGCAGTTTTCTGTTATAACATCATTCATTATTTACTATTTTTCTGTGGATTTTTTCGTTTTGTTACCAAATAGATTGAATAGGAGCCCCTAGCCCCTGAAAAAAAAAAATAGAAAAAAATCAGGTCAATTGTTTTAAGACCTTCACTGTTAGGCAAGCAAGGACGTTTGTGTAACTATAAAAGTACCTGTGATCTGAAAGACAACCTGCTACCGATTGCAGAGATCAATATTTACATTAGATTTTGCTGCAGATTCACATACTGCTCTTTCCTTCCTCTTCCTCATTAGTCATTTTGGGTTGAACCCTTTCTCATCCACSAGTTTTTTTCCTTTTTAGGGGCTCTTAGCTGCAAAACAATGTTTCATGAAAATATCCTACAGATATAGCTTTGTTTTTACAGAGCTTTGATTTTTTAATAAATTAATTGTTGTAGCATACCAGTAAGCATGAAAAGTATAATATAGTAGTCTGTCAAATTGGTATCAAGAAATACATGGCCCTCCGTGCTGATTTTGACATCCAGGAAATAATGTTTAGAAAAAGTAATATTGGATTTTAAAATATATACAATTAGATTTATAGAAAAAGATTCAGCAGCTAAGGTTCATTTGAAGGAATAGCTATTTTTCTTTTGCCTTTATTTCCCCTATTCTCTCTCTCTTTTTATTGACAGCTTAATTTATAGGTTATGTGCTATGCAACACCCGTATTCTTTTTCAGAATTATGTTCCGAGCACACCAGCTCCCTTCACTTTGTCAAGAACATTTCCTCATCTTCTTTTTTCAGTGTGCTGAGTGCTATACATAATTATCTACAGCGCTGCAGTGATTTGAGAGTGCCTTTGGAACAGTGTACTTTAAATACATATGATTTACTTTAATTACTCTGTGTCGAATTTAAACACGTTCCTACAGTATTAACACTGATGTTAGCTGTGCTAAGCAGGTTAATCTCACTTTTGGCTGTTAATGGGTACAATTGTACAGATGCTGAAGATAGAGAGGGCACCAGGGAGTCAGGGTGCCTTAGAATTTTTAAAGGATATATGACATTTACTTGTGGGGAACTTGACAAACCTCCAGTATGGGGCTTACAGGCCCCAAGCTGTTCTTCAGGCTATGCAACTTCGAGGATAGTAGAAGATTAGGAAAGTCTGTGACCTCCTGTCTGCTCCACTGATTTCTCTGGGCAGTAGATCACCTTTGTGCCTTAGGCAGGGGAGAGGGCAATGTGTCATAGCAAACAAGCGGAGCTGGATTTGAAGCAGCCTTCTGAGAACATCCTASTGAGTGCATCAAGTGCTCAACTCTGGGCTCACCTCAGTGCCTCACACACAACATCAGTGACTGAAGCCTTCTGCAGCCAATGGATGTTACCAGGCTGTGCATATAGGCACACATGGTGTTATGTACGTSTTTAGTTGTTTCATAGAAATAGATCATTTTCAGACGTGTTTGTTCTTCTCAGCAAGAAAATCAGCTTTTGTTTTTATCAGCTTTGTCCTCAAGGTGGCTCTTGGCTACACTGGACTCTGTGCTGTGCACCTGAGTTCAAAGCTGTGCAAACAGGGCTGAACTCAGGCTGTATCTGCCATGTGATGCATGATAACTGAAAAACCTAACACTGGAGATGTCATTAAATGGAAGCTAGCTATTAAGAGCTGTATTTTTCTGAGTGTTGCCCTGCCTTATAGAATCTCTGTAAGGCTGCTGTTTCTCATGCATTTTCCATATGTTGTTACCTTCAGGTCTTTCTTCATCCCTCTGGAAAAAGGGGGCTTAAGGGATTTCTTAGGATCTATCTGGCTGGGGATAATCTTCAGCTACAGCAATGCTTTGCAATTAGGTGCATCAGAACTTAAAGGTATTACTGGATTAAGGATGAGTAGGATATATTAACTTAATTTTCAGTATTTAGTACTGAATGGTGGGATTTTAGGAATGCTCATATTTAGAGCTTTTAGAAGTAAAGCACAGTCTGTAATTTGTTACTGTATTTGCATCTTTAAACAGAATGTGTGTCAAGGCTGCTTTCATTGTTATTTTGGATTCCTTTTTCTATCTCTCATAGAATGTCCTAGTTTGAAAGGGACCTTAAGCATCATCTAGTTCCAACCCCCCTGCTGTGGACAAGGGCACTTTTCATTAAAACAGGTTGCTCAGAGCTCCATCCAGCCTGGCCTTAAACACTTCCAGGGATGGGGCATCCACAACTTCTCTGGACAAYCTGTTCAAATGCCCTTACCTCCACAGTAAAGAATTGCTTCATAACATACAACTTAAGCTTACCGTCTTTCAGTTTGAATCCATTTCCCTTTGTCCTGTCCCTACATTCTCTTGTCAGAAGTCTCTTACCATCTTTCTTGTAGGTTCCCTTCAGGTATTGGAAGTCTACAATTAAGTCACCCCAAATCCTTCTCATCTTTAGGCTGAAATGTCCCAGTTCTCTCAGMCTATCCTCATAAGAAGCATAATAGCCCATATGACCATAATAGACTTTTCCATATTGCTACTGTATTGATTGTTGAAGAACATAGTTCCTCTTAAAGCTTTTTGCATCTGTATTTATTGCTTTGTGAATGAACTGTGATTAGTCTCCCTTTGACCTCCAACATAGCAAAAGTAAATAGAAAACTTGTTYATAATTGATTAAACCTTTTCAATTTGACAAAGATTTCTGTATGTGTTTTAAAAGGGAAATTTCTGCTGCATTAAAAGTGTTTCTGCTGTTCTGGCAGCAATTGCTGAATCCACAATGACTGTTCTTTTCTGTTTTGCAGTCTCTGATAATGTATACTCTTTCTCACCTGAATTGCAGAAAGGATATATAATGCTGCAGTTTCTGGCATGACTTCCAGCCATTTTCCTTCAACATCCTCATAATGCAGATGAAAGGCTAATATTTTGAGGGAAATGTACTTAAAAAATTTCTTTGTAGAATAAAATGAATTTTATAGAAATCAAACAATCAGTACCAGCTTCTTTAAAAAAATTACATAATTGAGGAATCTGCTTTTTACTTCTTGGAAAGCAGTCTATTTTCCTCATTTTGTAGGATAAGCAGCATTTGTGTGAATAAGCACTGCATGTTTGAGAGGGTGAATATTTTGTTTCTTCTTCCTTAGCATCCCATAGTGTTCCTGAATCATGYAGTCAGAAAAAGGATTGTAATCCTCTTTTTCTCTAGGCTGAAGTGGTACTACAGGCTCCAAAAACATATCCTGTCTAAGAACAAGAGGTGTTGAACACATCAGATTACTATCCTAGTTTATTTTAGTTTAGTTCAGTTGTTTCTCTGGGTGTGTGGTTTCTGAGATGGGGAATCTTTGTTGCCATACATAGCACTGTGGCACTCCCATCCAGAACAAGGCCTTTGGGAGCTTTTGCACTACAAGTCATATTAGTCTTCATTATTTCCTTACCCTGATTATTGCCTCTTTAAAGATTAACATCGTTTTATATCTTCCCTGTGCAGTATAGGAAGAGCCAACAGTACTGTTAATGATTTATGATATTTTTGGTTTGGTTTTTTTTCCACACCGTGATGCTTTCTTGCCACTTATTCCCTATATTATCTGCTATTCAGAAATGGTTTCTTTATGTGAATGGTTGTTCTTTGTAATTGAGCAGTTGCCAAAGGAACTGTTAGCTGCAGCTGAAGGCATTTTTGTTGGATAATATGTTTTTGTCTGCTTCATGCAAGCGTTTTGTCGGGTTGGTTTTTGTTGGTTTCAAGGATKACTCCCTTGAAACAGATCAAAATGAAAAAAGTCTGAAAACTGCTGCATCTCTAGATTAAAGGAAGTTTTCTTAGGTATGCAATAATGTCTTGTTTGTTAATAGAATCAATTTTCAAAGTTAAACAAGACTCTGATCTCCTGCTTACTATGGAAATAATGTCTTCTACAAACAAAGTCTTTTAGGTCCTATTGAGCATTTCTCACTTGAGTTTTTTGGATGTGAATGATAACTTGATGAGTGAAAGTATAGATGGGCTAAGGTTACCAGAGGTGCTAATGAGRATTCATGTTTTCATCTATTTGTCATGTCAACATTTTAATTTAAACAGGGAGCATAGTTCATATATTGAAATATGTTTGCACAATTCTTTTTGAAGTAAACTGACATTTATGCATAATTTGCCTGCAAGGAAGGGAAAAATCAGATATTTCACTCCAGTAAGCTTACTGAACTTCAGAGAATGGAAAATACATTTTAGTTAAAACTTACCCATTTTAAAAATAGCAGAATAGAGAAGAAAAWTTTAGTTTGAGTTAATTTTGTTTTTGCTGTGGCACCTTTACAGCTTTACTGTCTCARATCCTAAACTATTTTCTTCTGGGTTGGTGCTGTTTCCTTCCAGATACTCTCACAATATTGAAGGCCTTCTGTAGACAGCAGCRCTTCATTTTGGGAGGTGCATCTCCCCCTTTCTTTTAAATGATCTAATTCTTACATAGTGTATGCTAAATCAGATCATTTGGACAAAGTTTTGCTTCTGTCTTTATGAGACAGTGTAATAAACAAAAGTACAAAAGGAAAGGGATTTCATAGTAAGGAGTGCAGGTGCTGCTAGAATGGTTTGGGCCACCCACTTGTCTAGGTCATTGATTGTCCTTTCTGAGAGTGACRCTGGGTCTGATGCCTTACAGAGAAGAGCAATAAATCCAGCAGCTGAGGAATATCCTTGACCTGCAGAAAACGTTCACCTTATTTCATATRAGCTGTTGACAGCAATCTAGAAACAAGAGGTTAGAAGAGCCTTTTCCAGCACTTGTTTGTGCTTTGAAT